TTTCAAATATATTTTAAAATATTTTTGCATCCAGACACAGAATACCTTTGCAAGCACAAATCTTGTTTCCTCAGGAAGGAAAGTTCAACTGGATCCTGAGTGACAGGTTCAAAAGTTCAGATTGCCCCAGATTTGGAGCTGATTTCCCCTTTGAAAACTTGTATCAAGCGGCTGATCTCAGGAATCCTGAGAGAATATTTACTGAAAGCATTCAGGGCAGTGGCAAACACAACTGCTCTGTGCTTTTGTGACGCAGAAATAGTTTGAATATGCCTTACCAAATTTGGTGTTGACCCAAAGTGCAGTTTTTTAAAAAGCTATAAGTTTTTGTTTGGCCTGCCCCCATTTTTAAAATTGCCTTGTAGAATGTTGATTTGCTCAGCTGCACAATAACATCGCTTCTCTATTATGCAGCTATAATCAAATCATAAACCTCACAATGATGAAATCCCGTGTTTTCTTCTATTGGTGTGTCTTTGAGTATCTTTTTAGGCTTTCAGTCATATAATGTTCATGTTATGCTTTAACTGCAATAGTTCTATTCATTTGCAAGCTCCCTTGAGTCTCACTTGTGGCAGAAAACTACAAAAGTAAATAAGCAAATGAAAAGATAAATGGAGATAAAACAACCATTTTAATCAAAAGCATATTGGGCCTGGTCAGTAAAGGTACTCCTGTACTACATATATTATGTCCGATGAAGACTGAACCTGGTGAGATTTCCATTCAGGCTTCTGAAGAGTTCTTTCCTTCCTGTGCTGGGCATTTCTATGTTATAATGTATAATAAACTTTGGTTTCATTTTCTGTTAGGTGGAATATTTTGGACAAATCTCTATCGGGAATCCACCACAGAATTTCACAGTACTCTTTGATACTGGCTCCTCCAACCTATGGGTACCATCAGTATACTGCGCCAGCAAAGCGTGTGGTATGGATCATTGTGAGGATGGGGGAAAAGAAGGATGGGTTGTTGTGAACATTTGTTCCATGTAAAGTGTACAGTCATTAGTAAGGTGGAAAACATTTAGGACAGAGTCTCATCTGAGCTGAAGTAGATGCCACATAAGGTCCTTATAAGAACTCCTCCGGTGTCAGAAACAATCAGATCATAGGTTTTTCTTATCTACCAACACTTGTAAACTTTGATTCCTTTATCTTGTGATTCATTGTCAGAAGTTAAGCACTACTTTCCTTTGAGTTCCAGTTGCTCAGACATGAAGTTGAGAGAACATTGTGAGACATGCTGATTATAGTGTCTGATTTGACATTTCTTAAAGTATTTGTGGCTGAGGCTTCCAGAATTCCACTGTGGTTCCAAAATGGAATTCCAGAATTCCATGGTGGGTTCCCAAAATTATACAGTGGCTATAGGAATCTTGGGAAATGTAGTTCAAAAATCAACATGTCCAACCTCTGCCTTAGCCAATGGCTTCTTACAGGGGCTTAATTTCCATGGTGAGAGAGAAATGCAGCTGGGTCATTCTGCCTTAGCCAATGGCTTCTTACAGGGGTGAGAGAGAAATGCAGCTAGGTCAACCCATAGCATATCTACCATGTGAAACACATTGATGTCATCTCCATGTATGGCTGTAGTATAAATCATACTCTTACTTCACCTGTAAAAGAGAACTCAATTATCTCTTCCTCAACTTTTTGCAAATTACTTTCTTGTGACAGACGTCGCTTGCAAATCATCGATATCCAGCAACTAGGACAAAAGGGAATATAACCGGTACATTAATAATATAAAGAGAAAGTGAGGATTGGCTAGAAAGAAGTATTAGTAGCGAAAGCAATCTCATGCTTATCTGATATTTCATTTTCAAGATGTGATATCGGTCTCACCACATGGGGGCACATTTACAATGAAAAATGATGAAATAATAATCTAGTCTAAAAATAGATTCACCATGCAAAGCTGACAGAGGAAAAAGCATTTGGGGATGATTTTCATTGTAAATGATTTGATAAAAGAAGCCTTGGATGAAATGCTCCTACAGTGCCATCTTGTGCATGGTTTACTCAGAAGTAAGTCTCACTGTGTTCCATGGGACTCCCAGGTAACAACATACAATATTTCATCCTAAGACTTCAATTCTATAAAAGATCACTTAGGATTAAGCCCCACTTTATACAATGCAATTTAGTTCAAAGTAAAACAATGTACATAGGATCCGGCTATGTAGTGAACAAGAAAATATATGTTACAACTGAACATTACATTAAACAGAGAGAGGGGACAGGTCCACATATGCATTTTCATTGCTTGGTGACTCATAACATCCATGTGTGAAATAGCCAGCTAGAAACAACGGTTTAATTATTAATAGAAATGACTTTCTAATGTTTAATAGTAACTGATTAATTTTCAACCTGATGTTCCAAGCTCTGGCACAGGTTCACCCTGTAGTTTAGGGTGTGGTGACTTTAGACTAAGCCAAACTGAACTCAACATATTTAGGTGCTATCAAATAGGCATAAAGCCCACTGTTTGGTCTGCTGCAAGAATGGGTTGGTTTGTTCCTTTTTCCAGCCACTACACACAGCATAATTGCTGGAGTGAACCAAATCATTTCCAGAGTGTTCCTTTAAGAACCAGTCAAGAAACTGCCTGCAGCCAAATCTGTATTTCTCAACCAACCCTTTGAAAGTAACAAAAAATTACTTCTTCTTTGTGTTCAAGTGATATAGTGCTTCAGTTATAGTCTAGCAGAGTCTTAAAAGAAATTTCACTTCCTCTGCCCCCCCCCAAGAAGCAGAGGAAGTGTTCAATTTCTTCATATCTTGACGTGGTTCACTTATTAAGCTACTTCATGATATTGGAAATTTAAAATCGAAAAAACCAGACCTAATAGTGCCACTTGAATTCTGATATGCCATTTGGATGTGAGGTTTGAACAAAGGGACATATTGTACTGCCACCAGCCTCCTTCCAAATGATCAGTGTAGTCAAGCCCTTATTTTGAGAATAAATGTTCATAGAGCCGGGCTGCAAGAGGACATGTCAGAGTTCTGTATGTTGTACATAGGCCAAGACATTTTGATGCCTGAAGCAAGGGGCAGGATGGTCTAGTTCTACTGAACTGCCTGCTGAACTCTCATTTAATATTGCTGATGAGATAGGATTCCCCATCATACCTAAGGGCAGCAGGTCAGTTTAGGCAGTGCATAGCTCTGGGCAACAGAATGGGATAATCAGGACCCTAAAAATGATGAAACACGAAACTGCTATTTCTGCCTCCCAGGGTCTGCTGCCTGAGGCAGCTGCCACAGGTGGACCTGACTGCTCATATATCAGTTAGGGAGTGTCACATTTAATTCACTCTGTCCTCCTTCTCTCCTTCTTCCCCTCCTCCTTCCTCAATGTTTTAAACCTACAGCGGCCCATTCTAGATTCCACCCATCACAATCCAGCACCTACACAGAAGTGGGAACTGCCTTTTCCATCCAGTATGGCACTGGCAGCTTGACAGGAATAATTGGAATGGATCAAGTAATTGTAAGTGGAAAGCCCTTGTGCAACTTAAAAATACATTTTTGCATTATTTCTGTTTAAACCAGTTTGCTTTGAGAGTGGAAAATGCTATCTGGGCAGCAGGGACCCAACATATACAATTTTGAGGAGCGTAAGAGCACCACCCACTTTTCTCTATATGTTCCAAATGTACATCCTGCACTGGCTTCAAAGTACCCATTCACTTGAAAGAGCAGAAGATATTTGAAGGACGTGATTGCTTTCTGAAAGAAATGAATCTTAAGATGATCTCCTGTTGCCTAGATATGTGTTCCCTCCATAGAAGTTAACACACACTATCAGAGAGATATCCCAGATTTTATAGCAGGGTGGCAAATTCTATAAGTCCAGGGGCCAATTTTTCTTCTCCACAGCCCATTGTGGGAGACAACAACTTTGGTTGTATTTTTAAGGAAAAAAATAAAATGGCTTTGTTTGCATAGAAACAAACAAGGTCCAGAAGGTCTATGCATTGTTACAATGTATGATTTACACTTCTGGAGATTTTCAGGAATGGAAAATACCATAACTTTTATTCAGGAGGGTGTCTGAGATATCTGACATACATGAAAAAGACCCTGGAGGTCACATATACATTTTGCACATCTCTGTTCTATGTGTATATTTTCACATTCCTCCTCTGGATGTGCCTGTATCTTTTCTCAAAGCAGCAGAAGAATTCTCGGTGAAATTCAATTTCAGTTCACCTGTTCTCTTTTCCTTGCATTTCTCTCTGCCTCCACGTTGTTCTGAAGTATCTCCCACTCCTCCAGAGCAGGCTGTGAGGATGCATAGAGGGGTTCCAAGGAGAAAGAATAGCTCATTTTCATTCTGGAACTTTTGATTTCTACCAAGGGCAGGTCTTCTGGAAGATAAATGGGTCTCAGTTGATCATTGGAAATTCAAACATTCCAGAATACTTAGAATTAAAACAAAAGCTGATAACAATATATTGTTGCTGAAAAACACATTCCTTCTTTTCTCAACTACTATGAAGATTGACATCAAATACTATGAGATCAGAAAGAGGGAGGGAGCTTGAACGGAGTTACATATGTTATCACTCTTATTATAAAGAAATGCCAGCTCTCCAACCCTGCCAGTTCTTGCTTTCTTTTTGCCAAATAATCTCCCCTGGAGTGCCATTATAACTGTTTACTTGTAGGACTGTAAGATGAGAACTAACAGGAATGATTTATACCTTCCAGGTTGAAGGACTGACTATAGCCAATCAGCAGTTTGCAGAAAGCACCTCCGAACCTGGAAGCACTTTTCTAGATTCTGAATTTGATGGGATCCTTGGCTTGGCCTATCCATCCCTGGCAGTAGATGGAGTCACCCCAGTGTTTGACAACATGATAGCCCAAAACCTGGTGGAACTACCAATATTTTCTGTTTATTTGAGCAGGTATGAGCATTTCATTGGAAAGCCAATGACCTTGGGTCAATTCCTGGCTCTTCCTTCAAGGCGAATGCCCATTTTAAGCAAAACTAGTTGGAGAGTCAGTATAGTATAATAATATATTGGACTGGTCATCAGAAGTCCTGGGATTCAAATCCCTACTCACCTGTGGACAATCAGGATGGCAATAATGATCTGTTCCTTAAATATCTCACATGTCTCAAAAATCTTAGTAGGGTTGCTGTAAGGCAGAACCAACTTGACAGCTGAGATCAAAAACAGGTCCTCAGGAGATTATATAAAACACAGATATCTTTAGACCAAAGATAGAGAAACATTTCCATGTTGAGTAATCTCCATTGTCTTGGCCAAACCTGCTGAATTTAGGTTTTGGGCAAGACAAAAGTTGAAAGGAAACCAAGTTACAGATATTATTTCTCCCTTGTTTGTTGTGCAATGTGGAATGAATCCAGAAATTCTCCCTATTTTCCCAACTTATAGAAAACTGCCTCTCCCAGTTTTTTACATGGGAAACTAAAGAATACCTATGTCTGACTCTGCCATGTGGCAGGATAAGGCAGTTGCTTCAGATGGCAAATGCTGAGACATGGCAGCAAGATATTAGAAGATCTGTGACCTGGAACCCCTTAGTTACCTTGCTGCCTTCAAATAAAATGGGTACACTCCCTCAGCCAGAGTACCTCAAATGGAAGAGGTTGTGAGCTGAGGCTTGACTGGAGTACTGCAGTTTAACTACTGCACCATGAGGCTCTGTCCCTTGTTCTTTGTCTCAGGGAATAAAATATATTGAGCTGGTTGAGATAATATCAGTAATCTGGAATTAGGCCAGTGAAAGGATGTAGACTGCAGAAAATCTAAACATCTGGACTGCAGTGCCAGGTAAATAATATTCCACAATAATACTCTAGTTCAATAGTTAGTAAATAATGTTCTAGTTCTTAATTATTTATTCTATTTGTAAATAATATTCAGCAAATAGTCTTCTAGTTCATTGGGTAATACATAATTATCTAGTTTAGAGACCTGGGCAGAGTAAGCAAAATTATGGAGGGGGGAGGGAGGAGGCCATATTATATCTGTTCTTCTTTCTCTCTCCAGGAACCCAGATTCTTCTGTAGGAGGGGAACTGGTTTTCGGTGGATTTGATCCTTCCCATTTCAGTGGTAACCTCAATTGGATTCCAGTCACTAAACAGGGATATTGGCAGATCCTACTGGATAAGTAAATGTTTTGTTTGAGTAGACTGTCTGGAATAACAATCAAGATAAAGGCAGGAAAGTTTGGGGACAAGATGTAAAAATAAGTTTATTTTCCTGACTATGATGAAGCAAATCAGGCACTTCAGTCTGGAGCTTGAAATAACACATTCTGAATAGTGAGCTACTTGCAATTTTTTTTAAAAAAAATTATTAAGGTATAATTAATATAATTTATCAGATACAATGCTATTGTAACAAATAAATAATAATTTCACTTCTATGCAAGATAATTGTGGGCCCATCCAGATGGTGCGTTTATTCCTCAATATGCACTTTAGCGTACATTGATGGTGCCAGTGTTTTTCCTGCCATCCAGATGATGCAAGGCTTAAACTGGTAAAGTGATAAAGACATTTCAGTGCCAGTCAAGATGTTACTTGAAATGCATTTTTAAGCCTATGCTTCAGATCCCTCATGTATTAGTAATACATTACTATCACACTCCCACCCATATATTGCAACTACCACCAGCACTGCCGTTCTCAGTCTGGATTAGGTCTGTAATATGAAAGGAGGTTTAAACTTTTTCCGCCTGAAATTCACCTGAAGTTGCTCTTTGTTATTCTTTCCTCAAGTACTACAACAGTAAATAGGGGAATAGCTTCAGGGAAATGATTCTCAGCAGTATAGCAGAGCAAGAGAAAAGGCTAGATTATTTCTCCTTTCAAAGATGCAGTTGAAGTAGCATCAACCCTTACAAATCTTTTGAATTCCATCAACCATCAAAGCTGGAAGCAAGAAATTACTTATAATTAATTCCTTTTTTTAGTATTGAAAATATAACTGAGGCCAGAACACTACTGGTGATCACTAAGGTATGTATAACTTAATCATTGCTAATTGAAAATGTGATGGATGCATCTCATCTACACAACTCGGTGTGTGCAAGTACTGTACATGAGTGAGACACGCCCGGGCACCCTACCAATTAGCCACAGTAGTTTATGCAACTCCTACATGAACACCAGTAGGATTCTGGCCAATGTTACGTTATAACTGTAGTTCCAGAAGGAGTTATTGTCTTCACTCTTTTTGTAATATAAGTAAGGCTCCAACTATATTGGCAATTTGATTTGCAGCCTACATTACAGCTGAATTCACAGTCTGTGATCACACAGGGCCTGCAAATTGATTTGAGAGTCAATTCAAATTATTCCAACTTGATAAAAGTAGAAGCCCCCAGGAGCAGAGAAAAAAAAGCCACATTGGGAACAAAAAGAGTCAGACCAATTTGAAACATTGTGTGATTAGAAAAAAACACACACCTTCAAATTGACCCATACTATAACTACAGCAAAGCCTGCGTTATTGGATTATGTAGTCATAGTCTAAATTTTTAGTGACTTTTATAGTATCAGAAGCATGGCTTCCTGAATAGTAAAAAAAAAAAAAATTACACATGGCTACATTGCTGGCTCTTGTTGAAGTCATGGGACAAGCTAGCAGTTTGTGCCCTTCAAATTTATAAAAATAAATTTGGTTAAAAAAATAACCAAAAGGAGCTATGTCAGCTGTTTTGAAAAGTAATAAAGCAAAGAGTTACTTTTTTAAATGGTGCCCTTAATGCCAGCTAACTACTTCTAAGGCTTTGAAACTCTAAGTAAAATGATTAGTCTTTAAAGCTGTGCTCAGGCATAAATAATGCTCCAAAAGGTGGGGCTACAATTCAGTGGAAGAATCTGCTAGTGGTGTGCAGATCTTACTGTGCAGATTATGCTCCCTGGGGAATTTTGGGTGTTGCAACCTAAAATACAGATCCACACATCAGAGGTCCCTGGTTCAAACCCTGGCACCTTAGGGCTAGGAAATGGTCATGGGGAAAAGCTCCTGCCAGTCACTGTTGGCAAAACCTTGCTGTGTGTAAACATGGTCTGACTGTGCACAATGTCCCTTTCTATGTTCCTAAATAATCAGAAGACATTGGGTCCTTTTAAAGAAGAAAGGCCATAAAAAACTAGAAGGGACAGATAGCCTTCCTTCTAGAGAAGCAAGATGCCCCTGAATTCCAGACTTATTTTATTTTCTTCCTCTTCAGTATCCAGGTTGGTGGGACAATTGAATTCTGTGCAGAAGGATGCCAGGCTATAGTGGACACAGGAACCTCTCTCATCACAGGTCCTTCTGAGGACATAAAGCAGATGCAAAATCTAATTGGGGCTCAACCTGTAGATGGAGAGGTAGGTCTTTCCTCAGAATGCCCGTCAGATCAAATAAGCTTTATACTTTTATCTTTTCACTTTTAGTTATGCTATATTTTTGCTATATTTTGTGCTAGCCTTTCTTTCTTTCTTTCTTTCTTTCTTTCTTTCTTTCTTTCTTTCTTTCTTGTTAAATGAAGAGTCACTATGTTTTAACCAGAAGGCAGTAGTGGGAGAAAGTATGCAACAGAGAGAGAGAGGAGAGAGAAGGAGAAGGTGTACTTAACCCTTTACCTAATGGATCATTTCTCTACTCCCAATTACCACTTTTAAACTGCTTTCTCTTGCAGCATTCTAAAAGCGTGCTTGAGGCATTGCTTCCAAATGTTATCTATCTGAGAAATACGGAGAAAGGAGGCAGAGACCAAGTTTTTTGGCATTGGGAGGCAGTTGGCGTTGTCTCTCACCCACTCCTTCCTGAGGCATAGGCAAGAGCCCAAAAAAAGGGAAGAAGAAAAGTTGGTGATCCCCTCAGAAAGAAAGAAAGAAAGAAAGAAAGAAAGAAAGAAAGAAAGAAAGAAAGAAAGAAAGAAAGAAAGAAAGAAGGTTTATGTTTTAAAAAAATGTAAAGTGAAAGGCCAGAAAGAATTCATCAGAAGATTCACCTCTAGACTTCCACATCTTCTAAATTTTGGTACCTTGAGGTGTTCCACCTTAGTTATGGAACAGTCAAGATCACATGAGTTAGGGTGCATTGCTTTGAACAGGGCTGTGGTGGTGATGGTGATGGTGGTAGAATCTATTATTCTCATTGCAAAACTGTGTCGGTTGGTCCACAGTATGCTGTAGAATGCAACAACCTGAATGTGATGCCTTCTGTTACTTTCACGATCAACGGAATCCCTTACACTCTTACCCCAGAGGCTTACACCCTCGCGGTATGTACTGTCTTTCAGTTCCTTGTCTATAAAACACATGCCATTTGTGGCGATGTGTGGGTTACAAATTTGGCAATAGCTATCTTTAACTCTGTGTGGGGGTAAGGAGGCATGAGATCAGTTTCTGTTTAATGAATAATTGTTTCCATGTTAAGGAGCTCAGCTGTTGTTCAGCAGCCTAGATTTGGAAATGTCTACCAGAGATTATGCGGTACAGAGATCAAAACTAGAAGCAAATCCTTAGAGCCATGTAGTGCGGATCATATAAAGAGACCTATGATTTACACTCTTAATTCATATGTCAAAACAGAAAACAGTTACACAATTGGAAAGCTACAGATTTATCCCCGGTCCATGTCAACAGTGCCTCCTTGGTTATGGGTCAAGTAGAAGTTTGAAGGTATTATAGTAGGAAACATAATTTACAGCATGTAGGTATGTGCACATACACAATTCACAAAGAATCCTTCTTGCTTACAAAAGGATGCAGGTGGACAGGTGTATTTCATTTGGAGGAAGCTAGTGTTTGTTTCAATTTCTCTTCCCATCTTCTTTTAAAATGTTTCTAGCGTTTCCCTAGATAAAGGAGCCCCCTTTGTTTCTGGCCTTTAATTAGACTTCTTTGTTAGACTTTGAAGGAAAGTCTTATTATGTTATCTTTGCTCCTTATACTAATTGTTCTGACTTCCATATACAGTATGTGTCTTATTACAAGGCTTAAAAGGTCTGCGAAGTTGGGCCAGACCTCCTCCTCCTCCTTACTGCCCCATCATTATTTAGGCTCTGGAGGCCCCCCACAAATAGACACCTCCACTTTATGAAAAGTGGATGGAATCAGTGATGGTGCCTAAAAAGACTGAGATCATAATTATTCTGAATTAATTACTTTGAGTGGGAGGAGAGGTTATCCTGTGTATCTCCCTGGTTGGGAATGTAGCCAAGCACTACCATCAAAATACAAGGTTGGCCATCAGCATCTTTTGGGGAGGGAGGGATTCCATGTGACTTTTAAAGAATGTTCTCAGTGTTTCACTTAATTTGTGTTTTAAAATATCTAATTGTATTGACAGCTGCAGAATAGCATTTTCATTTCTCTCTGGTACGCTCTCTGGTACGCTGAACTGAGCACAGATTGTTCTCATGCAAGTTAGTATCCGTTGCTTTCACATCTACAATTCCTCTTCTCATTAGGACTCCAGTGATGGGATGCAACTTTGCACCAGCGGCTTCCAGGGTCTGGACATGCAAACGACATCCGGGCCACTCTGGATTCTAGGGGATGTTTTCATTGGCCAGTACTACTCTGTCTTTGACCGTGGGAATAACAGAGTAGGGTTAGCTCCCGTTGCCTCTTAATCTACTCGGCAGGTACAGCAGTCTAGGTACCAGGCTTTATTTCTGTCTCTTTTTGAACGGTCTGGATAAAATAATCTCCTTCATTGTGGCACGCTTTTCTGCAAGAGTGCAACAGGGATAATGACATTTATTTTTATATGTATAAATGTTTTGATGTCCCAGGCAGAAGGATCCCAGCAGGGAAAGCTGACCTGCACATTTTAGGAAAGGCTCTTGCACATTTGTTTTTTTCTCTAAACTTTTATCAATATTGAGTTATGGCAACCTGCAGATTCATGTCACTGTACTGAAATCATGCACTGTGAGAAGGTTTTTCTCCTCCCTTCCTGTGTAACTCATGAAAAGCAGGCGTGCTCTTTAATTGGCTGAACAGATGAACTTGTTTACTTTCTTCTGTTGCAGTTTGTTAATATAATAGGAAATGGGAGGATTTAAAGAATCAACTGGCAATACTGTGTTTATTAAATTGTACATTGTCTTGTGATCTCAACTTTTTTTTAAAAAAAAGCACCTTATATTAAGGTTTCTACAACATGCAAATGTACTTAACTTTAATTAAATAAAAGGAGATGACTGATTAAATAAAAAATTTTGCTGAGTGTGTTTCCTTCTTGCTGTTTTCCTTTTTAAGAAGGCAGGACTCGGCAAGGATTCCCTTACTATGGATAGAACTCACCAGACGCCCACCATCACCACAATTAATAATTATCAAGAATCACCACTTAAGTTCTGGGCCACCACCATCATTCCTGGAACCATTACAGTTGCTGCCAGAATTGATGATACAGGAGTGCTCCATGGTGCAATTAGATACCACCCTGGATACACCATGAGGTGGCTCCTTCCACACCCCAGAGTGTGTCGCTCCATTCCAGAAAGAGGGAGAATATTGGGGATGGGTGTGTGGCAGCCAAAAAACTGAGCAGTGTTGTTGTTTTGACAGGGTGGCGTTGCTGCCACCAGCAGTGTCAACAGATAGGAGAAATGGAACTTTCAAACATGGCTGATGGGAACAGCACATGGAAAGGTTATGGAAAGATGCACATATACACCCCAGAGACACACAGATACGCCAGCAGACTAAAAGCTGAGACTTTTAACTTTACAGGCCTAAAACGTGAGTCTCTACTTCAAAATGTTTAGATTTCTCATACAATTGAGAATCTACATTGAGATTTTTCCAAAATATTTATCTTCCAGAAACAGATCAAATGAAAAGCTTACATCTGAAGGACATGTTCAGATTTTGCCCATTTGAGAGCCAGGACACCCATCACCTCTTTGCCCCTAACACCTCATGTGGAAAAACTCTTCTATATCCAGTTGGAAACAAACTATTTTACACTCTGTTTGTACTTATCCTTCTTTTTAGCTGCTAGCTGTATCTGTTTTTTCTGCATCGACACTATTGAATGTAAAGCCAAATGATATGTTACCTTGCCAAGCATTTTTGTGCCTGCATCTGGTTGTATGAGCAATCTGCCTGTTTAAGGACCATAAAGTTGAAGAAGAGGAGAATTTATGGAATAGGACACTTCTAATTCTGAGGTTGCTCTATACTTGAATACTCATCCATGAGGAAAGTGAACTGCAATCTTCTGTGAATTTTCTTCCAGTGGTACATACCTTGTATGAGTAGGCTACTCACATGAGCCGTTAAAAACACAAGAGGGAAGCGCCAGGGCTCTTTCGCTATGTTACAGAGGATTTTTGAGTGCACTTTTGCAATAACACAGTGTGAACAAAGTGGGTCCCCCCAGGAAAGTGCCCTTTGGTACCTGGCTTGGGGAAAATTCCAGCACTGCTGCAAGCAAGCTGCTAAAAGGCACTTCCCTGGGGCAACCCATTTTGTGGGTGTTGGATGTCCTAACTCAGACATCTAAAACCCAAATTTCACCAAATTTGCAGGGCTTGTAGAGGAGAGTCAGAGGAAGCTTTTCTGCTATTTTATTTATTACATTTATAGCCTGCCTATCTAGTCATATAGACACTTTTGGTGTCCCTAGATGCCTTGGAGGTGTTTTATAGGATTTTAAAGTCAAGATGAATTGATGAATCAATATGTCAATCAATACATTGCAAAAATTTCATAGATTAGTGATTTGGGACTCATTGACCTTGACAAATTACGAATTGTGACAAATTGCCATTTTTTCCAATTCATGCCCATATCTAGACAGCTGCTTTAGAATTAACTCTGCAATAAACTCTGCAGCTGGATGCCTGTTAGCCTCCACCTGCTTAGCTTCTACACCTTTGGAGTAAAGAATTTATTTGAAATGACTCTTAAGTCTCCAGTATTCTCTCCTAAAAAAAAAAAAAAACACTCAATAAAAGGCTGCTTTGCAACTTCCTAACTCTTACCAAAGCAGAGGAAGGGAGATAGAAGAAAAGTTATTACATATTGCACCTGGGCCCATCACTATGGAATAATCAAAACTTCCAAAAACTAAAAGGAGAAGTGAGGCATATGATTTTCACAGCTCTTCTGTAATCCTGACCACAAACTTTGTCACTATAGTGGATTATTCATATCAGCTGATTGAAGGCAACATCTGCCTTTTCTGCAATCTGTAGTGGAACATGTGATATCACAACCAGAAAGCAGATGCAAGTGTCCAGGAGAATCCCACAGTACAGTCCTGTAGATAACAGTTTGCTGCCACCGTTTATGCAAGTACAATACATTTATACCAATGTAAATCTCCAGTAGGACTATGGCCAACACATCATTTCCAGGCTCTGGCTGTAGTAGCCGGTGGCACAGTTGTTTACAAACTTGTGCCCTACCAAACACACGTTTAGGACATCAACACTCATTAGACCCACCTAGAATTGCTTCCCAGAAGCGATTATGTTAAAAAGTCAGGTAAGACTATAGATAGAATTGTGAAATTAATGGTCATTATCGGATTCTATTCATATTTTCTGACTCATAATTGTTTAATTTTATTGCTAGGGTTTCTGAGTATGTCACATGCCAGTAGTGTGCTTATTTTCCCAATTCCTTATTTGCACAAAACTTAGAAAGAAGGAAGGAAGTGCCCCTATTTTGTCTACATTCAACTTTTTCATTTCAAGCAGTCCATTACTGACTCCAGACCGTGCTTTAGAACACTCTTTAGAACCAAAACGACTCCCTTAGTTGTAGATGGAAAGGAGAAGTAGAGTTGGCACTGAACTTCAAAACTCCAGACAATCTCTCTCAGTGATTTTGTGTATATGTTAAGTAGAACAGAGGACAAGACAAAGCCTTTAAGGGACCAAACATGCAACAGCCAAAGCATCATACAGGAACCCCATAAAATAACTGAGAATGGCTCTCAATGAATCACTGGAGCCATGGTAAAATAATGCCACTAAGGCCCATCCCTGAGAGGGTACCCGGATGGATACAATGGTTGATAGTATCAAAAGCCACTGAAATGTCCAGCAGAACTAATGAGACATTTTCACGATCCATGGAGGTAATCAAAGCTGCTTCCATCCCACACTCAGGACTTAAGTCAGATTGAAATGGATCTAGAGAAACCATTTCACCCAGTACAAATGTAAGAGCAGAGGATGCCTTTATTAGACCATTAAAAAATAAACAGAACAGAAGACAGCTAGCTTTCAATGATAATTCATCTTCCTCAGGCTGTGCACCAAGATTTTGTGGGTAGTTCAGAAAATTATATATTAGAGTCTCCAAAGTTTCATGGCCAAGAATCTCTGGAGCTGCGAGGTTACCACAATTTTTTTTCCAAATAAGAAACCTGGTTGTAGTAACCAGCCTTAGCATTATACAGGAGCTGAAAGTCAATAAACAGAGAAATTTTCATTTCTCATAAAGACGGTAACACCGTAATTTCTAATCATAAAATATTTTGTAGATTGTGCAAGGAAGCTGCAGTAAGAAACTTGTTCAGAAGCTGAAAGATTCATTAACAAGCAAACTTATTTTCATCTTGATGTGTAAGAGAGGTGCCTCAATTTAGCTCATTGAGAGATCCCATAGAGCAGTGGTCCCCAACCTTGGGCTTCCAGATTTCTTGGACTACAACTCCCAGAAGCCTTTACCACCACCTCTGCTGACCAGGATTTCTGGGAGTTGAAGTCCAAGAACATCTGGAGGCCCAAGGTTGGGGACCACTGCCATAGAGCAAGGATGGGCAGACTACAGGCTTAATATGCTCCCCAAGGTCCACAATGTGCTCTCTCAAAATCATTCCAGCTTCTTGCCCTAACCTTTCCTCCAAACTGGAAATGACTGCCAGCTAGTGACTACTCATCATTCCCACTGTTGTAAATTCCACTTTAAGTCAAAACAAGTTGGGCAGTGGAGGTGGGGCTGGAGGGATAGAGCAACATTGCCCCTGCAGTTTCTATAAAGTACAAGAGGGTTTTTGCATGTGTGTAAATAAATACATTATAGGGATGTGGTGGTGCTGCGGGTTAAACTGGAGAAGCCTCTGTGCTGCAAGGTTGGAAGACCAGCAGTTGTAAGATCAAATCCACGCTACGGAGTGAGCTCCCGTCACTTGTCCCAGTTCCTGCCAACCTAGCAGTTCGAAAGCATGCACATGCGAGTAGATAAATAGGTACCACCACGGAGGGAAGGTAACAGCGTTCCGTGTCTAGTCGCGCTGGCCACATGACCACGGAAACTGTCTTCAGACAAACACTGGCTCTACGGCTTGGGAAAGGGGATGAGCACTGCCCCCTAGAGTTGGACACGACTGGACAATTTTTCAAGGGGAACCTTTACCTTAAATAAATACATAAACAATTATTCAGGTGTTCTTAGGGTGTAGGAACCCTCTAAGTTCTGTAGTGGGGAACATGTCCTCCAGACATATGAAAGATGTATCTCTCGTCAGTAGAAATTCCATTCCCATTGTGCTGCCTAGGAAGAACATGGGAGATTTGCCATCAGCTTGAAGAGGTCTGTTGGGAAAGGTATTTAGAGGTTCTGTCATGGATTTATCTTTCGGATCACCATCAAAGATGATGTAGAAGAGTATGACTGCTGTTTTGTCTGTCTCCGCTTTTGTGCCTTTAACAACTGTGCAAGACAGATATCTAACACAAGACTTTTTAAAAAAATCACTATGGTTCCGTACTGAGAAACACTGTACATGTACCTGTTGAATGTTTGCTTATTGCTTCCGACAGGACATGCTTCCTGGTGAAGAAGCAAGATCCCAGAGACAGAAATCTGTAGCCCTACAGATATTATTTGACTGCCGCCCCCATCAGCCCAAACCAGCCCGGCTGGTATAATGTGGTATAATGGTGGGCTATGCTTAGTCATCTGGAGGGCTATGACGTTCCCCAGTCCTGGCTTACACCTAAGGCACAATTCTAGGCTAAAGGAACCTCCTTAATCCTCAGATGCTCCAAGAGAGGATAGTATTCTGTTCAGACCTCTGGATGTTACAAAATGGGGAACAGGAGTGAATGAGGGATATCATGCCAAGACTTCTGAATGCCACTCATATTAATGAGGGAACTAAAAACAACAGACGTAGTCATGTGAACTGAACTTGAAATCCTACTGAACACTCAAGCATGATTCCAGCAGAAGGTGGAATAAAAAGTTATCTTTCTGCTCTTAACTAGAGATAACAGTATTCCAGGTATTTCTGTCAGGCACTTCTTATCAGCACCACACACAGTGGTGACATCCCAAGGGTATATTTCCATGCCAATGAAGATGGCAAAAGAAATCAAAGAATTCCACAAAGCTCTGAAAAATGGGTGAGGCTCTCTGCTAACTGCCAGAGAGAAACCTGCCCAGATATGAAACCAGCTACAAAGGAATTTGCTTGCACTTTTGCTATTAATCAAATGCCTTGGGCATAAAGCCACTCCCTGCTCCATCAAGCACTGTACTAAAATCCTGCAAAACCTGTTTCATACCATGCAGGGTGGGAGCCATGTTAATCTGTTGCAGCAAAAGCAATAAAGTCTTAGGGACTTTTTTTTTCTTATACCAATTGTATTTTTGACCTCAACATCTCCCTCTCAGCCAAGCAAGTGTGTAAATATCTGTCTACTTCATACATCACTCCAGCTCTGTGTGCCCCAATGTTTATCTGTCTGATATATCACTAACTGGGCAGGGTAGAGGAAAGCCAGCTCATGTGCCTTTAGCACAGCTTGACTTAGTATGGTGTCCTCTAAATATGTTTAGATTACATTTTCCACAATCCCAAGCCAGCAAAAGCAATAGGGAGGATGTGAATTGTAGTCAGACACATTTGGAAGATGTGAGGTAGAGGGAGATTGCTTTTGCAGTTATTTGATAAAAGAAGATCTGCAAGTGGAGTCTTTTGTACGATCCTTTGCTAATTGCTGCTTCATATAACAAATGGAGCTAGTTCAGAAAATAGCAATCCGTTTACTATAACAAACTATTTGAAAATTGTTTCATAGTCAGAGACACATACACAAAAGAACATGATGCTGTAAGCCGCCCAGAGACCTTTGGTGTGGGCGGCATA